AAAATTACAAAAAAAAAAAAAAAAAAAAAACGCCACAACAAATTGATACAACATATCAACATATTAAAAAATATATATTTATTTTTAATATTTTTTTTGTATTAGATAAGAAAATTTTTGTATTTATTTCATGTGTTACGAAAAAATTTCATGTCGAATAAATTTTTTTATTCAAATCCTTTTTTAGATTCTTTTTATAAAAAAAAAAATTGGGATATTCATAATATAAATGTGATAAATAAAATATTGTGATAAAAATGATGTCAAATTGTGGCTTGCATCTTCGTTTACTCACATTTTTTTGTGATCACTTTATTTTTAATTTTTTTTTGTGTACGTCTTTTTTATTTTTTTATTTTATTTTTATTTTATTTTTTTATTTTTTTATTCTTTACAAGGAACCGTTAAAAAAGATAAAGTATTTTGTTAAATTATAAACAAAATATAAATTTTATTTCGGTTATTTGCGAAAACAAAAACAAGAATATAAACTTTCATGTAAGATAATAAGCATTCTAGATTTCTTATTTGAATATCTATTTTTTTTATTTTTTTTTTTTAAGGAAAATTAAATTTTTTCACACGAAATTTTTTATTATCAAATCAATTTATAAGAATCTCATGATTACAATATCATATTTGTTCAAAAAAAATCAAAAATAAAAAAAAATAAAATATTGTTCATGTGTCCCAAAAAAAGAGGATGAAAGTGAAAAGGAAATTAATATATGCATGATGTATAATGTATGTAGATTTACAGAACTTACAGAAAAACTTGTTTTTATTACGACAAAAAAATCAAAAATCGCCATTGGAATACAACAATGTTGTATAATGTAATTGTAATATGGGACTATACCCTTTTTCTTATTCAACTCACAACCCAGCTTTCAAAGGTTTCCTTTTATATTTCTTACTTTTATGGCTGAAATAAAAAAACGTGTTTTTTTTTGATGGTTTCATGCATCATCCCCCCCCTTTAAAAAGCCATCACAATACTTGTCCTTTTATATTCACAATAAAAAATTAGGACCAAACCAAATTTGGAAAAAAGTATAGCAAGTATACAAAGTAACAAAAGTAACACATCTAAATAACATCCGCAACTTAAATCCAAAGTTGGGGATTTTACAACAATTTTTTACTACAATAATGTATTACTACATTCAATCCTATTATTATGATTTATGAACTCGTTCCTAGTTTATTTCATTTTGTCAATTTTTAATTGGTTGGAAGAAATTTTATTCGTTGGGACTTGGGATCGTCATAATACCCATTAAGATTATTAGGATTATTAGGATTATTTTAGGATTATTTTAGAATTATTTAAAAGATTTACTTATAATCATCACCATTTTAATATTAAAAAAAATAATTTATTTAATTTATTTATAAATTGAGGGAAAAAAAATGCTTTGTGCAATTTTCGAATTAAGTTATTTTTTTTGATGGCTGAAAAAAAATAAATATGTTTGTGTGGTTTGTGTGTGCATACTTATACATATATACTTTTTACATATATTATTTTTCTTATCTTCTCATTTTTACGGATATTATTACTGTAACCAAATTTTTTTTTAAAAAAACAAAACAAAAATAACAAAAATATTTTAAAATATTTTAAAATATATATATTTTATTTTAATATTATTATATAAATTATATAAATTTGTTACATAAAAAATGACAAAGACCTTTGTCAGTTTTTTTAAAGTATTAAATGCATAATGTATATATTTGTGTATATTTTTGAATTTTTAATTCTAAAAAAAAAAATATTATGATTATATCGTTATAATTTCTCATTTATTTCTCATTAATCACATTAAAATTCTCGCATTTATGCCCCATTCAACCCTAAAATGTTTAATAAAAGTGATAAAGTGTTTCAATAAAAAAATGTTCTGTTCAAATATTTTAATAATGCACAATAATAATGAAATCCCTAGAACGCACATGATTTCTTCTACATAACTATTCTTGAATGAATTTTCCATCCCACATGATCATCTTGTATTAATATTGTCCCACATGACTTGTCGATTTAATCCAAATTTATAATTTCATTGAAACCCTCTCTCTCTTTAAACCAATTAATCGTTTTATATCGACAAGTTTAATGTTTACAAAAAAAAAAACCTTAAAGAAAAAAAAAAAAAACTAATTTAAAATATTTTTTTTTGATCATTTGACAACCTAATGACCTCTAAGATAATTTTTTCTTTGTAATGAATTACCAAAAATTATTAAAAAGTTCGAAAATTTTTCGTAAGAGATGCTTCATTCTCATATGATCAGTTTTCTTTCATATCTTTCTTATAACGTCTCGTGAACTTTAGTGTAGGTGAACATGACCAAATATTCAAAATATTTCCTATCTTGTCATTATCTTATCAGTATTATCAATTATTTGACATGATGATATATTATCCCATTATTCTCTTCCATACATTCCGTGCAGCCATCGTGATTTATTACACAATACATAATAATTGAATAAAATCAAATTTTTTTACGAAAAATTAAACATTTTTGGATTAGTCAATATAACAAATATTTACACAGAATATTGCATGAATTAACATCCTATCAATTCAACAACGGAAAGAAAACAACCACAACAACAACAATAATTATCATTCTTTCTCATATGATCAGTTTTTTTTTTTTCTCGTGAACTTGAACAAATCATATTAATACAATAATTTCCTATCTTATCAGTTATCAAATACGGGAAAAATAATGAGTTACTGTACCTTCGGGAAAATATTCTCATCTGATATTTATTACACAAAAAAAAAATATAATGTGAATGTGATTAAAAATTGAATCTCTTCCTTTGTGATGAAAGGATGAAGGAAAAATTAAACATATTTAGACATATTTAGAAAGTTTAATGTTTAATAGATTATGCGAATTAATGCAAACATTTTCATAAGTGGTCCAACCGTATTATATAATAAGGTTGTCAATATTCAAATATCGATTTTTTTTTTTATATATCGATTTTTTTGATTTTTTGAATTTAATTAGAATTTAATTAATTGAAAGTTGTTAATCTCACTTTTTCAGGAAATAAAAAGGATTTTTTTTTTTTAAAAAAAAAAAATATTTACAATATATTATTTTTTTATTTTCCCGTAGCATACATACATACATACATTATACATATATTATCACTTTTTACTACGCTATTTATGTTTGTTTAATTTCATTCAATATATGAAATGAACGTACGCAGCAATTAATTCATTGTTTAATTACCATTTTAGGAATACATCATGTAAGGGGGAATTTTTTGTTTGTAAAAAAATCATTTGAATTTTATAATTTATATTATGCAACTCATCTTCTTATTTTTTTGTATCAGTTTCCTCATTTGCTGTGGTCAATAAAAACTAATCGATTTGTTGATTATTCGTGAGGCGTATTTTGAGTTTCATCAGCCAAGTAAGAAATATTCCCCCAAATTTTTCTTTTTTTTTTTTTATGTCATAAGTAAATCAGCATTACACACGCAGTTTAATGATGTTATAAAGTAACACATAAATTGACCTAATTGGAATAAGACTATCTACGGCCATCTATGGCTATCTAATGCGAAGTTGTGGCTTATCAAAGGTCCAGAATCCCTTGATTCTCTGCTCATCTGACCTTTAATGAATAAAAAGATAAATGATATCATCATATGTTGTTCGTAATCACAACATTATATCATAACTTACTTTTTGTAAATAAAATTTCCCGTCCCGAAAAAAAAAAACCTTTTATTGAAGTGCGTAATATTATTTTCATATAAAAATTTTTTTTTCCCTCAAAAAAAAAAAAATATGTTTCAAAAAATTACACTTTTTATGATGTATTCTGTGTTATATTAACCGCTTTGTTTTATTTTTTATTTTTTATTTTATTTTTTATTTTTTATTTTATTTTTAATTTTTTTTTTTTTTTTTT